AGGGGAAGGATATTGTAAAATCCCCATTCCCACCTCACTCCAGGGGAAGGATATTGCAAAATCTCCACTCCCTTCCCACTCTGGGCCAGTCAGTGGCGGCATTTGCCAGTTCTCCGAAGTACTCAAAATTTCCGCTATCGCTTCTTCAGAACCTGACAGAACTTGCTGGATTTCACCCCTGCTTGGCTCTCATACCATGTAAAGACAACTGATTTCCCACAATACACTGAGCACAAAACCCCTAAAGCTTGTTTCGGCCCAGACTGTCCAATTGGGTAAGCAGATTTAAGAGCACTCACATCTAGAGCACAAGATACTGGGATCTCCATTCCTCACATCCTGGCGTCGGAATCGCCTGTTGGGAAAAAGTATGAAAAAGATTTGCCAAGCATCCTTCTGGGGTTGGACCTGAAGCCTCAGGTCTGCATAACCACCCTTCACTGATTACATCCAGGAGCCAATAGCAAATAGGATTATTGGACTCCAAGGTTACAGGGCCTAATCTCTATAGGCTGATCCTTGGCCATACCGTTTGGTATTCTGCAGGTATCGAGTGCAGGTGGTGCCATCCCAGGCACAATAGGGGTCCCTCGCCAGGCAACATTCTGCGCAAGCTTTGCCATATATCCCACAACGGTGCAAGGGCAGTTGTGAAATGGAAGTCCTGGATCCCAGGTACAGCTGTTGCTGTTGGAAGACAAAACCACCGAGTCTCTTTAGGGCCCAACCACATCTGGATGGAAAATAACCTCCTGCTTCTAATGGGTTACTGTTTTGAGAAGCAGTTCATGAGGGCTAACCTAGGCTGTCAGGCACTGCTCTAATGAATGTACTGTAACAAGTGGGAGGAAAATGGAGGATGGATACGATCAGAACCTTCTAAATAGCCAACAAGATATTTAGGAGGGATCCATAACTTGTATAGATGGGTAGGCAGCCAAACAAACAGGAAATTAAGCAAATAATTGCCATATTTTTGGGATTGTAAGACACACTGGAGTATAAGATGCACCAAGATTCTGAAGAGGTAAATTTTCAAAAAATGCACTCTGCAGACCTCCCAAACCCCCTGCACACCTCATTTTTTGTGAAAAATGGGGCATACAGATAGTTTGAGAGGCAAAGTGCTCTGGGGATAGGGTGGGGGAGGAAATGAGCAAAATACAGCCTGTTTTTTTGCGAAAACTGACTCGTTTTTTGTCCCAAAAAGGGGGATGCATAGCCTTTAGGAGGCTTGTAGAGGGGAGCTAGTGGGGGCAAAATGAGCAAAAAACGGCACATTTTTTTACTCATTTTTGCCCTCCTTAGCTCCCAGGAGCACTTTGCAGGCCTCCCAAACCCTCTGCATGTCCATTTTTGCAAAGGAGGCAGGGTTTCGG